GAATTTCGATAGAGAGGTGGGCTACGCTTTTCAATGCTGTTGAATTCCATTTCTTTGGGGAGTTGGAATGCATTCTGAGAAGTTGGGTATAGGGGTGTTATCTGTGTTCTGATATAGTTGGGAAGGAGGGACTGGTTCTAGTTGTGATTAGGTTTCCAATCGGAGAGGCATGATGGACGTGGATAGCGTACTTGTATTTGGGGTAGTGGAGGTATAACTGGTAGAGGTGAAGCGTTGAATGAGTCCGAAGATCGCTCTTGCTGAAGCTAGTCTTCTAAGGAAATGGTTATTGGGCTGAAGGATTGTATTAGCCAGAAAGCTACCCAGCTGACTGTAATGGAGCCACTTCAATTGTCTGGTGTATGAGTACACACAGAGTCCAGTTACATGCTGAGAGTTATTGATAGAAGCCAGTTGCACAGTGACATGCAAGTGCCGGCAGTGTGGTTAGCTACCAGATGTCAGAGTAACTACATTCTGAGCACTAGGAAGAGGATTTATTCGTGGGAGTGATGACTGACGAGTCTATGCCTCGCCAATAAATAGAAGGCCAGCCAGAGTGAAGCTCTGAGTGCCCCGTGATACTCTATATTCTCTGAGCATTATAAGTCTACCGGTATCGGCAGGTACTATGCCTGAGAAATCTACAATAAGCAAAAAGCTCTATAGCAATGATTAAGCTCACACGTGAGCGGCATTTCATTCATTCAGGCCCCGGTTGTGCGACAACCAAGGCTGCAGGTGTTAGAAAGGGCTTGACTAAGGGTAGTTGACTTCCGAAAGGGAAACACCTGCTAGCATTTAGACAGAAGTGGGGTAGCGGTGGTATTGTTTCCTATCCGCCAGAAGGCGATACCGGAACCTATTAAGGAAGTAGAAGCAGGGAACGGAACCCTTTGGAGTATAAGTACTCAGGATTTTTCCCGCCCAACTATCCGAATTCTCCGCTCTTGATCAGAGCTATTAAGAAATTTCTACTCGATAGCAGAGCCCTTGAAGATTATTGAGTTCTAGCGATAAATCTTTGAATAATCTAAACCTGATTTCTATCTTGAACGGCCACATCCTTCTATCGGATTCTAGCTATACGTGGAAAGTCTATGCCTGTTACACTTACTTCGTGTCTTGGGTTGAATTCTTGGCCGTCTAGGAAGACGGCAGGGAGCAGATTGGGTCTTTGTCTCTTGGTATTCGCCAGTGCATCAGCTCTGTTTTAATTACTGAGAAATTAACATTATGATGGGTTGCTAGGGTGACTAGCTTATCATAGTGGGATCGCAGCGTTGAGATGTTCTGTTGATATGAAGGGGGGCTGGCAGTGATCGCAAAGTCGTATAAGTATGAGAGGGTGAGACCGGAGATGGGTCGTGGTTGCAGAGGGAGTTGTTGTAGCTGACAAAGAGGAGGGGGGAGATGGGGGAGCCCTGGGAAATAACTACTTGTATGGGGGAGATGATTTTGGCGGATCCTTTGAAGAGGAGGGTGATATATCTGGATCCTGCTTGGTGGTGTCCTGCATTATAATTGGACCTGGCAACGCCTTGAAACCCCTGTCCGCCATTACGCATTTCCCCGCGCCAAGCCTCTCGGCTATGCGGTATGCAGTAGTGCAGCAACCAGATCATACATAGAGCTTGCGGTAAGATTATTGTAGAAATATGGGAGGAGTCCTATTGGCTTGCCCAGCCATAGAAGCCCTGTTTTTAGACCTCTCGCTGTACTCGAACGCGCATCTGCGATCAACAATGCGTACAGCGACCGGAATAATCTATAGAAAAACAGGGGGGGTGAACTTGTATGGCGAAATATCCGTGCGCCATATAACAGTTTTTCCATAGATCATTCCTATCACTGTAGAGGTACTCTATACCTACTTTACATATGTAGTTAGTACTTTATATGCAGATTTAACAAGCTGATGAAACATGCTGAACGTTTCCAACCGCATTTAAAATAACACATCAGCGGGAACCGGATCACATCACACTGGTGCCACTCCTCATATCACGACCTGCATAATAGGTGGGCCCGGGTCTTTCACGTTATTTATAAATTTCTCTAATCGGAAAGACACACCAGCATGAATATACCGGATAATAAGTGTTGATGAATGGATCTTGTGGTCTGCTCCTAGATCCTGTATAAGATCTTGAGCAATGATGATATCATTACGGAGCGCCCCTAAGTCCTAATTCCTCTCCGGCAACGCGTCACAGGGCATCACTCGATATATGCAAGCCACTCTAGAATTTAGTACAGCACCTAGATATAGCTGATCCATCACGAAAGCTGAGAGAATTGTCGTCTTCTGCACGGGCATCACATCACGCCTTAATGCTCTCTACTTGTGTACTATTCTTGATATGTATGAGAAATTGAAGAATTAACTCCCAATGACCTTCTTGAACGTAGACCTTGTCTTCAAATAGAGTCGATAATACTTCGGGGCGATGGTGAGCAGGCTTTCTACTTTCTACTATATATGTTTTCGAGATATAAGATCGTCAATGTAGATAAACGGGTGCTCATCATGTAACTTGAATATCACTCGTTCTATTCAATGTTGTGCAAATATTATAGATTCTTTTTATCCATATTTTTGCAGAGAAGATTCCTCCACATGTGGCCAACGGTAGCCGTACCCACGCGCCATCCCATGCCCCACTCCACGCTCCACCTCTATAATCAAGGGAAAAACCATTCACAGTCATATATTCTTGGCGGTCCGGTTTAGTCATGAAAATATGATTCCCTTAAAGAGAATCACTTCAAGATTGTCAACGATGTGTATACTTGATTACTACTCGAGTCGCAACACGGATTCAAATACTCGGCCCTGCAGAGATAGTGTCATGCAGTCACCTGAACGAAATCTTTGTTGATGACTGATTGTATGCGCTTTCGAGTGTCGTACCTCGGGGTTGCTGGAGCAGTCCGGTGCACCTTTGGTGGGTTACACCCACACGCTCAGCATCTCTTTCGGGATAATGCAGTAGCCTGGGAAGATAATTTTAATGGAAATAATAGGATGAACATACGTCCTTGGCATCATATGACAAGCATCGGCATTCAGCGTCATGAACATCGCTAGTGGGTCAAGGGGGGAGAGTAAGGGAGTGTTTTATCAATCGAGTTGGGAATGGAGCTACCTATTAGCTCTTCGCATTGCGAGCTTTACACAACTAGCGGAGTCCCTGCCACATATTAACATTGGGGCGACCAAAACCGCCAAAGTAGTAGATCTCTAGTATCCCACATCCATTGACTGCTTGCTTCCGAGGGGTTGGCTTGGGGATGTTGAGAAATCTTCGAGTGTGATGCTTCCATATCTTGCAATCGCCATCTCATGGAGTATTTGATCATCAGACCGGCAGGTTCCCGTAATAGCATATTTGATATTACGGCGGCTGTATAACGGTTTCACCGGGAAGGCGATCGTCACCGAGAAAGGAGCTGAAGCAACTGAGCACCAGACTGTAGGTTATGAAGCCGGATATCTCAGGGGGTGTGTTTAATTTTTATGACGATATATATGAAACTGGAGGGGTGATACTGCGGTGAATAAGTGTAAAAGGAGCTGCAAGGGGTGATTTTCCATATTGTTGTTGATACTATGACTATCATTCTCTGTAGTATCATGATATGATGATGCTGATGGGTTCAATTGAAAGTTATATACCTAATAAACTGTCGAAGAATGAGGTCCTTGTGGTCGTTGCACTATCGGTATCAGATTAGATAAAAATGCCTCAGTTAAAGTAACCCTAACTAACATGAAGCTGACCCGAGTCGCAAGCGGATGCTAACTCCAGAGACTCCGAAGCAGGTCAACCTCCGAATATAGTGGTCCAAAACAGACCATAACAAAAGATTCGAACCGGGACCAGATGCCAACACCAGCGACAACGAGGCAGCTCATAACGCAGCAAGTATATCGGAAATATAGACCTCCGAGTACAGTGAGCCTGAACCGGAATTCGATAGAGAAGATTTCACCTCTTCAACCGATCGGTAATACATATCGAAGAGTAGAGGGGCCTTAGGAAGCGGTGAGAACGGATTCTAGCTCTTCTGAAAGGAGCACAGGAGCTTCAACAATCGAGCTCTGGTAACTGGAGCGCATCACCAACCGCACTGGTCACCGATCAGCTACCGGATACGACATTAGAGAGTGACGACGCCGAGTTTATATGCTTCGCAACGGATGACCACAGGCCCGAAGAAATCTCCGAACCGTCTCGACTGATCATCATCGACTAAAGACTAGTTTTGAGACTGCTATTCCGGAGTTTTCGATTTCACCTGTGTGCGGCAGGCCCTGCCTTCTTTACATCAACTACCACCTACGGAGAAGAAACTGGGCGGAAGGTTTGGGGGCGCTCACGACTCGACTTTACGGTGGAAATTTTGTTTGTTCACACCCTATCCCTGCGCCAGCAATGTTTCGGCACTGTCGGTCAGCGGATTGAAGATGTACCACCCATTCCAGAGGCTGAGGGAGGATGAGAATTTGATTATATTGTCTGGGTAGTGAAGAAACTGGGGTGGATTGTGGGAAGGGTTGAAGTGGTTAAATTTTTGATATCTATTGTCTATTTTATTTAGATTCATTCAAATCCTATTTCCTTTCCTTTTTCCTTTGCTTCCTTCTCAAACCTTGATATCTCGATGCGAAGGGATGTATGAAGTATCAATCAATCAATCAATTGATGCGAGGGGTACAAAGGGTTTTATCTGGGGAGAGTAGTCGGTGAACTTCCATGTTTCCTTTACTTCAATCGCCGGTTTAAACCTCCGGACCCAGCACAATTTCCGCCAAGATACACCGTATGACCGGCCCATGTCCACTTTCCCCTATATAGAACCCCCCCCCCCCCCAACCCCGCGCCAGTCCCCTTTACTCTTCCCCAGATATACAGATCCAACCCCTGGCCATTATCCCCATCTCTACTACCCCGCCATGCTGCCCCATCACCCTCTACAACATCAGACCGCGCCCCTCAGTCCCCTGCCTCCATCAGTAGACCGACTAATGTCTTGCACAGTGGTTATCTCTACTTACACCATCCTAAATGAACTGGAGTAGAAATTGCGTTGTAGATCCCTTCAGTCGGCGGTAGCCTTATAGGGCCCATAGGACAGAGCGGTGGAAGCTGCACCGCGGCTGTCATCTTGATAGTTGCGCTCAGCGCCGTGCTCGTCGTGAGTCTGGGAGAAGGGGGAGGGAGCTGTGTTGGGGTAGGTGATCTGGGCGTAGATTTGGTGGGGTGAGCGTGGATGAATGACGGTGGACGATGGGTGAGGGTAGGTGAGAGCGCTGCGTCGAGTGGTTCTGGGAGGTATAAGCTGCTGTCAATAGAAGGTAGCAACGGGGGGGCACGCCTATTCTGAGGTGGTGGGTGAGACGAAGCTGGGGGCGGGAGAATTTTTGGGAAGGCCAAAGGAGAAGGGGGAGGGACGAGCGAGAAGCATGCAAAGTTGGATTGGGGTGTTTGGAGTAGGTGTGAGAATTGAAATGAATAGACACTTCGGTGCCGTATTTAGCCTCGGGGTAGTATATACCTAGGTACATGTATACTAGTAACGATCCAGTCGGGTCAGGGGCGTGGTAGTGGTTGATTGAGACGCGCGCGGGTATGAAGGCTGAGCTGGAGTAAGGCGGACGGAGGGATTAACGCGCTTAACTAAGCCTAATTCGGGTAGCGGGAGGAGCCCTGCAGCTCTCATCATCGGCGGTGTTTGCCAGTGAGAATAGTGAACAATCGGTCGATATAGGCGACAAATGGAGCCAGCTCCATTTTCCGAAAACCTGATTGGTGCCGATGACATCACCAGCCAATCAGATAATCAGAATATAGAGCTGGCAAAGTCTCCGATGATATGATAAGCAAGCCATATATGATGGGTATTTATTAATAGTGGAGGTGCCTACTTCTTTACCAGTAAAACAGCATTAGCCACACCACCAAGTTTTACTCACTTACCTGGATACATATCGAAGTATGTACTACCTACTCTAAAAATCGATGGTGCCAAGCACGATATCATGGTCAAGCCGGAGTTGTAACGAGAACCCAAACAAAGTACTATATCTCACTCATTTATGCTTTACGTTTATCATTTAAACTATACTAACCAACATCTCCCTTCCAGACATATCAAGAATGATTCAATAACTGCGCCATTGCTCCTTGAAGCCCAGTAACATGTGACCAAAAGACTTTCAGGTTCTCATCCTGCAAGAGGTTCATGCTTCTGTTCGCCCCCCAAGACTGAAGACATGCTCTTACAAAGTTTCTATATGCTGGTCCCATGTTTTGACAGATGCGTTCAAAGCATAGCATCAGAGCCACATCTTCTTGACCGGCCGGAATGTCTTTCGTGCTGCAGCAGCCAAGCTGGAGCAAAAGATATCCCAAGCGATAGATGTCGCGATTATTATCTGCGAGATAGGAAACGTTATCGTTGTTACGTTGTAGTGAAAGGTATGGTTTCCAATAGCCGATGCACGAGTTAGCTTCCTCCTGGCCTTCGAAGAAATATATTGTATTGATACCCCAGTCTCTGACCCAGGGGGAGGAATAAAGGTGTAAAAGAGACCTGGCGAGATTAATCGCAATGAGAAAGCGGTCCAGGGTTGTTAGGTCGGAAAGGCGATGTGAAATAACGTCGTGAAGCGAAAGTGGTTGACAGGATCTTGAACCAGATTTGGAAGGGTGTAAGCGCAATCGAAATCCACCGCCATCTTGTGAGTCATGAAAGCGTCCTTCATATCTTTCAATCTCGGACGAGAACACCTCGCAGATCTTTGCCGAACCTGTACCCTCGGCTGGCGCAGGGCTCGGCGCAGCAGTCGTTTCCGAAAGGAATACCACAGTGATAGGCGGGGGAGTGACTATAGATCCAGCATCACCGGGACTAGCAGATAGTCGAAAGGAGAATTGAGTCGGAGCTTCGGTTATTGCCGAAGGCTCCCCGGATTTACCCTTAGCACATTTTACTACTTCTGCAACCTGTCCATCTAAGCATAGATGCACCAGATGACAGTCACAGAGTAGGTTGTTGGACACAATTGGGTGTAGCCTTCCCGTGGCAGCATTTACTAGACATGCTTTCTCGGTGTCCACAACGGGGTCGTCTGATTGCGAAGGACCCTCTCGTAGTTCTGCAGACCTTTCGAGACGTAGCTGGGATTTCTGTACAAGCTTTAAGAGAACCCTTAACTGGGTAATTTCTTCATGCAGCTCCCTGCATAACGCTTTCATTTCGGCTATTATCCCTTTGATACACTCGACAAATCTCTTGTGGGAGTTATAATTCGACCGAAATCGGGAACATATGACAGTCGACGCTATGGACTATAGAGGGTCTATGGTCAGCGAATCACTTTCTTTTAGCACTCGCTCTAGTTCTGTCCTTACTAACCGCACTGTTCCCGGTTTTCTGAGGTCCTGGCTCTCCGACGGCGGGGGGAGCAGCTTCGGTAGCCACATCGATCCTATCTTGGGAGCTCCTCTGTGTCTCCCCCAGCTTTTTTAAGGTCATCTTGCAATTCCATATTGCACCTTTTACAACCGGCATCTGGGGCCCAAGCTTCTCTTCGAAACGTTCATTCAGCTCAGGCTTTGACCAATGCTCGCTCTCAGGGTCTTGTAACATGGACCGCCGTACACTCTCCTCCACCAAACCCTCGAATGAATGGTCAAGTGTCTGCGTAAATATCGCCTCGAGGACGTTAATCTTCTGTTTCACGCTTCTGGAGTCCTCCTCAAACGTTTTGTAGCTTGATACGAATTCCTTCACATTGCGATAGCTCTTATAGACCAGAATAATAATCGGAATCGCCCCAAATGTGATATCCATGATTGTAGGTGAATGTAATGTCGTTGATCAGACCTGAATATTTTTATCAGCAAAGGTCTATCCGTATGTCGCTCCGGGTTGCCACGAACTATTACTACGAGCTTGGTCTCAGAGATCGCTTTCTCCACTTAGGAAAATGACTGCCGTATTGTACTTCGATAATATTCAGTTTGACGATGGGAGGGGTTGGGAGCTAAGCTCGACGGTACCAAGCGAGGTTAGTGGTAGCTCACCCCAAGGAAAGAATTTTCACCAATCAAGGTGGAACAGTGAGGCGGCTCATCTCTAACTGGCTGCTTTTCAAGCCAGGCTATTGTGGTGCTAAGCCTCACTTCTCTGACGGTGAGGGGTTGACCGGAGCCAGAGTCTCTAAACTGTTATTCGCCTTAGACACGATCATTTTTCTGCTGCATTTACACCTTGCCATCTTAACCATGGCTCCCCCCGATACTATAGCAATAGCTAGTACCCTTGCTGGCTCATGTATCTCTCATATCTCAAAGGTCTCGGAATCACGGAGGAAGCACAAAGACAACTATCGGATAGCTCTCCACCGAGAATTTGGGCGTTTTAGGCTTTGGCTTCACGGTTTCCGTGAGCCTGTCACTGGGCAAACGATTGATCAAAGGTCTCCCAATAATGCACTAGACGAAGTACTAGAGGAGGCAACATACCTGAAAGAGCCCACGATATTACTCCTCTCGACCTTTACTAGCTGTTTACTATCGGACCATCTGAAAAAGGGTGATTCCTACAATAACATAATGGTTTATGGTAGCTAATGATACACAGTTGGCGATGACCTGACCCGCACATCACTCAATGTTTCCCTTCACCAAACCATGAAAATTTATCCCCACATGGAAAATACCTTGGAACGTCAATGGAATACACGGGAGTCAGTTATCACAGACATCTCTGATACTATCGACCTGTTATTCGATTTGGTCCCTCCGTTGGACGATGTGCTTGAGAACATCCGATACCCGCTGGTCCCTTCAAACGGCACTACAGAACTGCAAGGAGAGGTTCTGGTGACCTCTGGCGAAGTGATGGAAGAGGACCTGCCAGAATGGACAATACCTCTAGCAGACGCGTACTGTAAAATCTACCGGAAATATATCGAGGACAAGTTCCCAAATGCCAGTCCCGAGCTCGATATAGATAGGTTTGCAAAAGGGAATGCAAAGTGTCATGATGGATTACTTGCTGAGCCTGAAACGCCCATGCCCAGCGAGTCGGAGATCCAGTAGGTTTCAAGCTCTCATTCCCCTATCAACATAATCTTTAACATCTATACCACAGTATTGTGGCACCGGCCTCGAGGGAGGGTCCGGATGAATCTCTCCAGATCGGCCAGCCTGCGGAAGTTCAGGTAGCTGCAACATTTCACGATTCGGGCCTCGGGAGCTCGGCACCTACACAATCTATAATTAGCCCTTCTATGGGAGAGAGCGCTGGGGGAAAGATGCCCACAGTAATAATACTCCAGGACTCTAGTCTTGAGGGCTCGGTTCCTCCGCTACTCAATACGGCTTCTGCTCAAAAGGACCTTAAGGGCGATACTTTTCTTGCTCCGCCACCTTCGATATCAGGCCTTTCACAATCCACCCTTTGTTCCCAAAGTTCGACTCCAGATAAGAGACCTTCCCTGCCCACTATTCCTGAGCACCCCCCCTATTACTGTAAACTGTGTCGGAGTAATCTGAAACAAATGTCAAAGAGGTTCCGTGGCCACCAATGGAGGTAAATAGGCTCGAAACACCCATCTAGCGTTATTCTTCAAATTATATATTGATATTTTATCTAGGAAGCATATCTTTTCCGATCTGGAGGCATATATGTGCATCCGTGCGAACTGTTCCCAGAGAGACGTTTTCTTTAAATCGAAAAGGGAATGGGTTGCACACGATATGACGTGTAATCAAGACCTACCGCAAGAATCTGAGCGTACTCAACCGCCTGCAGCTGTACAGTGTCCGTTTTGCGTCAAAGAATTCGGAGCCAACAAGGCAGGATTCTATAATCATGTGGCACATCACATGGAAGACATCAGGTTGTTTGCCCTACCGCCGTCTTACAGAGATTTGATGGATGATTTCCAAAATAGCTCAAACACCGGAGCCTCGTCAAGTGGCATCCATGTTGATAGGGACGGACTTCCCACGATCGCAGAAATTGGGGATAGTCAACCATATGATCAATCAAACTTTGAACGATATCTAAAAGCTAATGCGAAAGCTGACAAATCCTTCGTTGGTGATTGGGTTCTCGGTGGAAGTCCATCACACGCCGAAGGGCAAACGGTCTTAGCAAGTGGTGAAATCCAGAGGCCGATTGATGATTCATTGCGCGTGACCGAATTGATATATACCTCGGTTGAGAGTATGTCATAGGGGTAAAATAGCCCCCCTCTGGAGAACCGTTAGGCTAACGCTCACAGATGACCGACGGCTAAAAGTCTTGGGCTGGCTATCGACGGTTAAATACGAGAGTCATCATATTCTTTCCCAGTGGCTCCGTCAAAAAGGCACCGGGACCTGGCTATTCGGGGATGATACCTTTGTGAAATGGGAAGATTCAGAAGCAAATTCAATTCTGTGGATACGTGGAATTCGTAAGAAAGAGCAATTCCAAATTCACATAAAAGGCACTGCTAACACTGAAGTTTAGCTGGCTCTGGAAAAACGATCTTAGCGTGAGTATAAAACCAGCCTTCAGGTGTCAGGCCGTGATCATAACGCGATATAGATCTTCCATTATCGATAAATTTAAGCTCCTATCGGCTAGTGATGATGGTCATGCGGTGGCATACTTCTACTGCAGTTACAAGGAGCCTGACAGAAGTGACGCTGCGTCAATCCTTCGCACGCTTATCAAGCAATTTTGTATCAACAAAGAAGATTGCAAAGTTCCTACACTCGTTGATCAGCTCTACCAAATGAAAGAGAACAGGGGTGACGCAAATCATCCTCTTAATCCTGAAGAGAGCACGGAACTGATCATCGCTCTTTCCGAAAAGTACCAGTCGACAACAATAATTATAGACGCACTAGATGAATGCTATGTAGGAACTCGCAAGTCGCTATTATCCTCCTTACACAAGATTGTTCAGAAAGCTACTAGAGTGAAGATCGTGGTGACTAGTAGATACGACGTTGATATCATCGACTCGTTCTCTACTAGTAGCGGCCCGTATTATTACATCCATTCTGGGGACAACTCCGGCGATATCAATCTTTATATTGATGCCGAGCTCGATCGACGCTGTCATCCGAGTAATGTACATTGCGACTATGACCTCCTACTTGAGGGAAAGATTGACCCGGAGCTTAAAGCCCTGATACGATCGCGTCTTCAGGCTGAATCAAATGGAATGTATGTATCAGTGTTTGGTACCCGGGCCGGTGCTCACGTGAAACATGGGCTAAGTTCTACATTCCAGGTTTCTGTGGGTCAACTTGCAGATCATAGCACTTTGCGCTGCGCGCACCGTCAGAGGTGTAAAAGAGGTGCTCGATGGTATGCCGCGAGCCTTGAGCGAAACGTACTCGCAGATACTGGGGAGGATTCAATTGCAAGATCCTAACTCTCGTAGAGTCGCTATGATTATCCTGAAGTGGCTACTATGCGCTCAAAAAGTTTGTACAACGGGATGTGTTATCCAGGCTCTCGCGATAGATCCTGGGGTACCCGATTTGAACAATGAAGGACTAAGCCGGGAGATACCTGATATCCTAGGTATCTGTAAGGGCCTTGTGGTTCATGACGAGGGACTCGGAATATTCCGGTTCGCGCACCCTTCCGTTCAGGAGTTTCTGGTACAAGAGCCTGCATTCGAGCGGGAGAGCAGTAATACATACGTCGCCGAGGTTTGTGTTACAGCGCTACTATATCACCACGGGGATGGAAGCTCGATCCCTGAATTATATTCTTACGCCATGGAGTACTGGGGGGATCATGTCCGCCTTTCAGGTGTTACAACACGGGCTTTGGCGACCCTTTGTATGGACTTTTTTAAGTCTTCCGTGGCTTATAATCAGTGGGGCACAAAAATAACCAAAAAAACCGACATTCTCAGGCCAGGATTTAGAGAATCTACTCCAGTAGTAGGGCCGCTATTGGTAGTCTCCTATTATGGGTTACCAGATCTATGCAGACTTATAACCGAGGACTCACATGATCAACTACATTCACGGAATGAGGCTGGCAAAACCCCATTATCCGCAGCGGCAGATAAGGGCCATGACCGGGTAGTCCTTGTACTGCTAGAGTGTGGGAGCAATGTTTCCTCTAAGGACAACGCCGGCAAGACCCCATTATCCACAGCGGCAGAGAGCGGCCATGACAAAGTAGTGCAGCTGCTGCTGGAGAGGAAGGGCGTGGATGCGGATTCCAAGAGTAATGGTGATCGGACCCCACTATCCTGGGCAGCGGAGAACGGCCATGACAAGGTAGTGAAGCTACTGCTGGAGAGGGAGGATGTGGATGCGGATTCCAAGAGTAATAGTGATCGGACCCCACTATCCTGGGCAGCGGAGAACGGCCATGACAAGGTAGTGAAGCTACTGCTGGAGAGGGAGGATGTGGATGCGGATTCCAAGAGTAATGGTGATCGGACCCCACTATCCTGGGCAGCGAAGAAGGGCCATGACAAGGTAGTGAAGCTACTGCTGGAGAGGGAGGATGTGGATGTGAACTCGAAGGATAGTACGCATGGGCTGACCCCACTATCCTGGGCAGCGATGAACGGCCATGACAAGGTAGTGAAGCTACTGCTGGAGAGAGAGGATGTGGATGTGAACTCAAAGGATAGTACGCATGGGCAGACTCCACTATCCTGGGCAGCGAAGAAGGGCCATGACAAGGTAGTGAAGCTACTGCTGGAGAGGGAGGATGTGGATGCGGATTCCAAGAGTAATAGTGATCGGACCCCACTATCCTGGGCAGCGATGAACGGCCATGATAAGGTAGTGCAGCTACTGCTGGAGAGGGAGGATGTGGATGTGAACTCGAAGGATAATACGCAGGGGCTGACCCCACTATCCTGGGCAGCGATGAACGGCCATGACAAGGTAGTGAAGCTACTGCTGGAGAGGAAGGATGTGGATGTGAGCTCGAAGGATAGTCCGCATGGGCAGACCCCACTATCCTGGGCAGCGATGAACGGCCATGACAAGGTAGTGAAGCTACTGCTGGAGAGGAAGGATGTGGATGTGAACTCGAAGGATAATACGCAGGGGCTGACCCCACTATCCTGGGCAGCGATGAACGGCCATGACAAGGTAGTGAAGCTACTGCTGGAGAGGAAGGATGTGGATGTGAGCTCGAAGGATAGTCCGCATGGGCAGACCCCACTATCCTGGGCAGCGATGAACGGCCATGACAAGGTAGTGAAGCTACTGCTGGAGAGGAAGGATGTGGATGTGAACTCGAAGGATAATACGCAGGGGCTGACCCCACTATCCTGGGCAGCGATGAACGGCCATGACAAGGTAGTGAAGCTACTGCTGGAGAGGAAGGATGTGGATGTGAGCTCGAAGGATAGTCCGCATGGGCAGACCCCACTATCCTGGGCAGCGATGAACGGCCATGACAAGGTAGTGAAGCTACTGCTGGAGAGGAAGGATGTGGATGTGAACTCGAAGGATAGTCCGCATGGGCAGACCCCACTATCCTGGGCAGCGGAGAACGGCCGTGACAAAGTAGTGCAGCTACTGCTGGAGGGGAAGGGCGTGGATGCGGATTCCAAGAGTAAGGATGATCGGACCCCACTATCCTGGGCAGCGGCGAACGGCCATGACAAGGTAGTGAAGCTGCTGCTGGAGAGGGAGGATGTGGATGTGAACTCGAAGGATGAAAACGGCAAGATCGCATTAGACCTGGCGGCGGAGCGTGGTCACACAAAAGTGATGGAGCTACTAAGGGTCAAATCAGAACATACTGATGATGATAATGTAAGCGAAGACTAAATCCATTGGCCCCTCCCACCAAACCCGTAGGATACTAATACATTATATAGTAGATACCTGAAGATGACTGAATATCAGTAGTGAGGTGCCTCGCTATAAGGAAGGCCGTCTCCGCCTGCGTAGAACGACCAAAAAAGCGGAAACATCTCTACAAGATATCGCGTTAACATTCGATTGGGGACCGTTTGGAGGAATGGGCTATTTCACTCTCGGGGATGAGATCTTGTTACTCTTCTCCTTTTGATACTGGAATTTTTTTATTTCATTTTTGCTTCGTTTTCACTTGGGGACTTTTTTCATATGCGTGGTTGGACGTGGTAGCTTTCATTTCCTAACTTTCTTTCCTAGTTTTGTTTATTGCCTAACCTTCTCTATATATCCTCCTACCCACACTGCAGGAAATTGGCATTTATGACGTTTTCCCAAACGCAAAACCAAACCACGCCCCAGCTCCTCACAGCTTATGAACTTTGAGACTCCTCACGGTGAGGTAACCGTTCCCAGTAATGGCCTCGCGCTGGGGCGCCTTAGGTACTGTTACCCCCAAAAGGAGGTCTCGTTACAGAGTTTGGGGGGGGGGGGGGGGGTTGGTGGTGATTATTTGGGTCGACCCGCTGATGCCCGAGGGCTCCAAAATAACTTACCAGTGATGGATAGCGTTACCGTGTCAATCCCGTATTGCTGAGGATTCGCACCGTCGCCCGTCGCGTAGAGTAGAAGAGTAGAAGCTGTCTATGTCAACCCACGACGCGTCGTATGTTATATGTTCGGCTATAGATAGACATCCACGCTCGCGGTCGGATTCGCCAGTGGGGGATCCGCATGATCGCCCCCAGGCCCAGGGTAGGGTTGGCGGGGTGCTAGTTACCCCGCATTTCGGTTGATGCAGGGATATATTAGTGTATGTGGGTAGGCTTATCGATAAGACATTGCTGTGCGCGATGATGGGGTGGAGTGAGGCTCTGGTCTTGTGCGGGGTTGATAATCTCTTGGCGCCAAGGATAATCTCGCGCCATCACACAGTTGGCGCGTCGTTGAGCTCTCCACCCCCCCGTCGACACCAGCTCCTCAGATCCTGCTTCGTTTTCAACAGCGGCAGCTCCATGACATCGATGCGACAACTATCTCTCTCTGTGGGAGAATGGGCAGTGACGGGCGTGTAACTAACCAGGACTAACACGCGACAGCTTCTACCCTCGCGCCGCTAGGGCAGGTTCGATACATCGGCCGCCACCCATGGGCCATGATCCACGATTGATTGGTGTCGTTGTCAATGATCGCACCACTCGCCGCTCACGTATAGGCCTGGTGGGCGGAGCAGGCTCAGGGATGTGGGGTGTCATACAAAGACTTGGATGATAGGAGTGTTGTGGTGTGCGGGGCTATGGGTCTCGTCTCGGTGGATGGGATTCTCGCGTAAACGTGGCCGTGGCGGCGAAAGAAGAGGGGAAGGGACGTTTCTCTTTTTGGGCGCGTTATCCTCCGACTCAAAGTAGTAATATATCGAGAGAATTATCGAGAAGGCAGGTATATTAGCCATTGGAAGCAATCCCTTGCTTCAGGTATTCCTTGCGCAAACCCCACATGTAAAGCTTGGGTGTGTGCAACGGCGTCTTTACGTGTTAAATTCTGGAGGTATGCACTAATGGTGTTTGGAATATGTGTAGGTACAACGCACACCCCACTGTACCGTATGCACTACAAGATACCCCAGCCCCTGATATCCCCAGTCTCTACCCTAGCCTTAGTACCACTCCCTCCACGCCCAAACTCTTCTCCACCACACCACCTGAATCCAGCTTTCAAACCCCTCCACTACATCGCCGCACACCTCCTCTCTCAATTCGCCGCCAGAACCTTTACCCCTCGAGTTGGTGTTTAATCCGGCTGCTTCGCTTCCGCGTCACCCCGAGTAGCATCTATACCGTCGTTAAAGCAGCCCGTCCAAAACCGCGGTGATGTTTATATTGATGGCGGTGGGCGGGGGGGGGGGTGTGTGTTCATGGAGGATCGCGGGGTGTCGTGGCATGACCGGTAGTGGGGAGAGGGTGGATTGGTGGAAGCTGTGCTATGGGTAAGAATGCCAGCTTGTGAGCGGGGTCAATCCGCTGCGCTAACACGTTGTAGCTTCAACTGTGGCGAGCCCTTCTCCCAGTGTGGCATCTCGAAATATAGATCATTCGGCAACACAGCAACGGTCCGGCGGGGCATTCTGAACGTTTACTGCGATACGCTATGCAGAGATACCACCCCGTTCCCCCCACGTACACACACCGATATCCCCACAAATAACTCCGACACAGGTCATAATTTACACCCACTAACGTACTACTTGCGTAACCCGGCATTGAAAAGCGGCCGTACCCCACACACAACCTCCTCGGAACCCAAATCATTCACTTCGAACTCACATCCACCAGCTAGACGAAGGTTAGGTACAGCGAGCGGGGTTACGTCGGGTATGTCTACACCAATTATTCCAGATTTGCTAGAGTTTGGAGCACACCCCTACAGCCCGCTCGCTGCATTACTTTTCTGCGTGTTATAGATACCTACTCCTAGTCACACAAGTGTTTGTTGCGATTGGACTACATACATCTACACCCGGGCCAACGACCCCAACCAGCAGGGACATTGCAAAGCTACGATCCACCGGCGGGGCTTCTACTTTTATCGCTAGATAAGCACCCATCTTGCCGTCTAAACATACATTGCGGACTGACGGGTGCAGACATCCTTGGGAACCTGAGAGCGCGGTATGAGCTGGATCAGACGCACTGGTAAATTATCATGGTGCTTAACATTGTTGTACTAGGATTCTGCTCACACTGCAGGTTCATATCATGTCATCTACGTAGGATGTTCTGTACACAGCCACCGGTGTTTGTGGGGTATAGAGATGTAGCCTAGTATTAATCTATGGAAACTGACATTCCGGTTAAGATGATGCGTTGGGGATATCGATGAATTCGGGGCGCAGATAAGGGTGGGGGGTAGGTGGGCGAGGGATGAAGGGTGGCGTTGGTGGTGGTGGTGGTGGCTCTAGCAGCAGCGGTGGAAATGCACCATCCGACTCATTCCCTGAAGAGGCTTCTACAAAAGGACACAAAAGACTCGTTTCTATGCCCTTTTGATTTTGTGACAAGTCGATACTCCTCGCTTGTATGTAAATATTTTCATTTGTTTCGTCTGTTACTCACATAAAAATATGCTTAAATCAGTGCCCCTTACGAAATCGAGGCTTTCCTATGTGTATGTGATACCGAGTCTTTTGGATATTTACCGTGTCTTTGCCCCTACGAAATAAAGTCAGCAAGAATCATGCCTTCGCCTAGAATATTTCCACGCCCACTCAAAATCAGTGAAAGGCGGCTCTGATCCTGATCCTTTCGTTGAGACTTGTTCGGCCCAAAAAAAAAAAAGGAAATGTTTGTATGATTGGCACCAGAAGGGTTCGATTCGTTGGTCATATACTTCCAATCCTAACAGCACAGTACCGAAAGATGGGTGGAGCCACTACGGTAATCCCGTAAATAAGTTATGGCAGCCTGCCGCGACCATTTCACCCCCGGAGAGAGTTTTAGCGCGCAGGACCACGACCACGACCACGACCACCGCTGGCACCGGCACCTCCACCAGCACTAGATCGAGCACCTCCGCCACCACCGAATTAGCATCCAATCTGCAGGCAATTGCACCTCCGCCAGCAGCACCCCCCGCCGTCAAAAGGGAGTGATAATCCTGACCGGAAATGCGAGTGATATTTGTGACTAAGGTTAATTTATTGTTAGGGTTAGTTTTTTTTTTTTTTGTTGTTGTCTAATTCATACCCACATGCAACCCGGAGTTTATGGCGGCGTACCTCCTCTCTAAGCACCAGCGCAGGGTCTCACCTTTATGAAGCGGTAGCCTCAGGTGTGTGGAATACCGCAACCGGCTGTTAGGCCAACACTATCGCCTAGTCACACTCCTCCGCATTTTTCTCTAGGAAAACTCTCTCCACAGAGCAGAAAACCCACCCACATGCCAAGCCAGGAAAGGAAACCACGATTAATATCCCCCGCCCCGGCAGGATTTGAACCTGCAACCTTGCCCACCCTCGGAAATTTCCTAATGTTAGGGTTAGTGATTAAGTATTCTTAAAAGTACCGTCACCCCGGGGCTGGATCTGAAGCCTATTGTTGTCCAACCGGTATCTAGTCCTTACTTTATGGCTCAGGCGGTGTTCTTTGACATTTCCAGGCTTATGAACACCATTAATCAAATCCCGAATAAGCAAAATTCGTTCAAGTGAAGGCCGAAAACGATTGCCACCAGTTTTGAGGAGAGGCTCATACCAGGCCTGGCGTGCTTGGTCAGAGAACGGAGTGGATACAGTAATCAAAGAAGAAGACATGATAGGATAGGATATTTAGAGTGTCCGTGGGCTGTATGTTCCGCTGTCTGTATTGTGTTTCGTGGTCGAACAAAAGAAGAAAATATGTTCACTTTAGCCTCTTGTCTATGTGGGGGGGGTTCATCGAGCTTCCTTCATAGCTCGCCCGACAGATCAGGAATACACTAAACACTAACTAATCTTGACGAGACAGGAGGATTCCTGGCTCGCATTGACAACTCAGGAATATTCTTCGCTCGGCCCCATTCCCACCTCGGTCAGTGCAGTATCCTTATAAGGTGAATATCAAACCTTCTCAAGGAATTCGATCGATGATTCGATTACGGGCAACGAGCCTATGCTAATTGGATCCTCACTTGCGACCTCCCCGACGGACCCGAGACGGTATCAAGTCGTTACTGTCAGCTTCTCCTCTATCCCGAGTAGTCCTTCGCAGTGTTTCGGGTATAATATCCCCCAACCCCCCGATGTGCAAATCCCTGGTGTTCCCCGCTTCGAAATTACGATTGACTCTCATTTAGTCGGCTTAACCCCGCTAAATAATGGTCCCCAAACTTGTGGTGTTGAGTAGGCCTTTTAAGCTCTGTCCTTGAATATATTTCGGAATTATATCGCTCTCTGAAGCTAATGTTAAGCTTGGTGGACCCTTACCCGTCCTCTGGAGCCTCTGCAGGCGCGGGCAAAACCCCTGTATCTCCTGATGGCACTGGCCCGCCCACCGGACCTTTTGCTGTCACTGGCTTGCCCCCAGGAGCTCATGTTGACCTTAGTGGACGCTTACACGCCCCCTGCAACTCAGGTAGACCTCCATGGGCGCTTACCCGTCCCTTGGAGCTTCTGCTGCCGCTGGCACGCCCCTGGAGCTTATGTTGAGCCTGGTAGAAGCCTGCGCACCCTCCCGGAACTCTTGTCGGTCGTGGCTTGGTCCCTGGGATCGATGCTGGCGCTGGCTCGCCTTTTAGAGCTCCTGCTGGCGCTGCATAACATACTGGAGCTCCACATGTCACTGGCCCGCCCCCTGAACTTTATGCTGGCACCAGGGTTCTCAATGATAAGGCGGTATCGTGATAGTCATCGATAAAATCTTCAGGTGGTATAGTGGTTAAAGTACGATATGATGACCTACAGGTAATAGTGAGTATGATATGGCATCTTATCTGTATCGGTAATATCAAGATAGAGGCTTGGCGCGCGGATGAGCAGTCTGACCGCCTTTTCTTGCTTTTTCTAAGCGCTTAAGCTTGATCCTTCTGGTACATTTTCCACAACATGAGACATCACTCGTTTCAACCATGGTCTATCACAATTTCTTCTTTTTTTCTCTTTTTATGTAATTCATTAATTATGGTAGTGGTATATCACAGCCAGCACAATAAGAGTTCGCAAAATATCATGCAGTTCGATACTGACCTGAGAACACGGCAGTTGGTGCAATATGGCACCAGAATTACACCAATACGTATTATTGAGAACCCTGGCTGGCACTGCCAACTGCAGTTGATTTCATCCTGCCGTTGCCTAGTCCCGGGAACTCTTGCCAGCGCTGGCTGGTCACTACTGCTGTCGCTGGCACGCCCTCTAGACTTTATGCTGGTCCTGCATTGCACACTGGACTTCAAGCTGGCGCTGGCTCGCTCCTGGATTTGATGCAGACGCTGGATAGCTGTCTGAAGCTCACGCTGGTGCTGGCACGTTCACTGAAGCTTCTGTCGCCGCTGGGGTAGTCAGGACTATACTACATGTACGAAGGCAGATGTAATGGCATAATCTTTTATAATTGTATTTTCTTGTATGACGTAAATAAACAAGACTTGCGCGGGGTGTTAGCAGCCAAAATCATCAAGGTGGATGTGTGGGTAAACTACATACATGTAGTTGATTTGGGTGGTGGAGATTGGGGTGGAGGCGAGCCGTGAAGGTGGAGGTGCACGTGGGGGCAAGAGTTACGGTGTGGTGGGGATCGTTTTCTTGGCATGCGACCGCGGAGCCTCACCGCAGAGCCTCATTACGCAGCCGCAGAGCCTCACTATATGCATATGCGAAACCGGAGCCTCATGTCTCTACTCGTATTTTCGTGACGTTTGTAAAAGGAACCACTATTGCATACCATACAAATACGCGCCAAGTCCACAATTTAGTATGGTATGCGCCCACTCTTAAAGGTAACACAAAGTGACGGAAAGTCAATCGCTTATAACTTCACCACCAAAAATGATATCAAAAAAGTGGAAAAATAGAAGTATAGTAATAGTAATGAACTTTCGTTCTATTTCTCCAGAATTCTAATATCTGTCTGGGTTGTAAAGCCTTAGGAATTTGAAATTGCGTATTTTTGTATGTAAAATGCGCCAAGACTGAACAAAGTGGAATAGTATTAGAGCGTATTTGACAACTGTCGATTCTGACAATTGACAGTTCGCTGGCTGCAATAGCGGTTTGCCGAACCGTCAATTTTAATTGATGAGGGTATCGGCACAGGGTACCGGAACTTGGAGCTGGACTCTATCAATTCGCAAAAGGCCTTATGTCTCGATCTCGCCACTGATAATGGTCGAGATCTAGTAAATAATTTGACAGTTCGTGAAGTAAATGTCAATTTTGCGACCCGCAACTGTCAAAACCGAACTGTCAATTGTCGAAATCGACAGTTGTCAAATACGCTCTATTATATCCATTTATACCCCCAGAAAAGCAAACCTGAGTGATTCGTGGCAGTAATGCAGCAGAATGGCTAGAAATGGGCCCTCTTATTGGCCCATGAGGCCTATTACAGCCACAATTGTTGTGCCGGTGTTGACTCTCCTAGATATTCATAGTTCCGCTACCCCCGTTACCCCTTCAGAACCGACTGTGGTGTGATCCTTACCCAAGACATGGACTATCACTCGGATTTTATGGTTACTGAATTATTTATCTTTGCATGCAACCGGAAGGTTATGAAAAATCCTACCCCTCCCTTTTTACAGAGGCAGAGCAAAGCAAGCGCGTTAATTGGTTTAGTTGATGCTATCCATTGTATAGATAGTGTACATCTCACCACTAGAACGAGTTTAGTACCTGTACCTGAGGATATCCCCTGGAGAACCTGACTACTGGTATCCAATTATCTCTTCTTCAGGCCGTCGATATCAAAGGCGACTAGTTCAAAAAATCTACACCAGAGCGTAGCCGGGTGCTCCCACATCTTTCGCCGGGTCGTGCTTAAATCGCAATAATTATCATACCTCGTGCCCGTCCTCCAAATCCGCAATCCATCAGCGGGACAGCTGATGGCCGGGATGAAGGGGCGCAGAGTTTCTCTCTCTTGTTGCCCTAGCACTGATCGCCCCTGCTTTCCTCCCGGGCGTCTCTGCGGGATATATATAACGCCGGTCATGGGTATTGCATCATAGACTAATTTGCCCAAGAATAACTACCGAGGTAACGTACGTAACACTCCCCCCCTTCCCCTCCCCTCGGGGGAGGTCTCAGAGGGAGTCTACGAATAAGGAATTGTCAGTTCTTTTGTTCTCCTGCGTTCTCTATGTCTCGTTCCCTGCGCGTGATGGTCAGTCCATGTTCTAGCGCATGCTAACGAGGCCCTTCACTCATAATATACTTGATTATATCGATGTACAACACACCTTGTAGTTCTCCGCCTCTCTTGCCCCTCCAGTGGGAGTGTCGGCAATTAGTCGATATGGACAGTCAAAGTTCCAAAAGGACCAAAAGAATCCAGTAACAATCGAACCACAGAGAGCATAAACATGCAGCTCACTCTCCAAGTCGGGAGGTTGGGCCCGGGGGTGAGGGAGCCTCGAGTCCAAACCCTAAACCATGCTTCTTTTAAGCTAAAAGTCAGTCGCTGCCAATGAGAATTCAAGTTGACACCCTCTACCGTGAGTTGAGCTATCCCTTAGTCTGTCAGTAAATTCGCTGCGCTCAGGTGGTTCGACCCTTTCTATAGTATAATCTCATTCAATTAAAATAAAAACAAAAGAAAAGCAACACTGTGCTCAAGCTCCATTGAAATGCTTTTTTCAGCGTCGTTTCCTCCCATTATAAGCAAACCCCGATTACAACCTTCTAGTAGGTAGTCTGGAACCATTCTAGTACCCCTATACAAAGAAAACAACCCATTGTCGAAAAAAAGTAAAATCCGCTTCACTTCTCTTTCTGACCATCTCTAATCCTTATATGATTGTGAGCTTCACCTCTAATCACCGCGCTAATTCCATTGAAAGCATCGTCAATATGGCGCTTAATAGAGAGTTCCATAGCAAGCCTGATGTTCTCTATTTCGAGCCTCGTTTTTTCTCCCGCATTGTCAATATGGCGCTTAGTAGAGAGTTCCATAGCAAGCCTGACGTTCTCCATTTCGAGCCTTGTTTTTTCTCCCGCATTGTCAATATGGCGCTTAGTAGAGAGTTCCATCTCGAGATTCGATTTTTCACATGCTGCGTTGACGACTTTCTCAATGTGTAAACGCATTTCCTTGTTTGCTTCGACGTCGTAATACATAACTTTGAGAGCTAACTGTAGATATGTTATGTTAGCTGAGTAACTCAGAAAACCACACAGAATCCGCTGGAGAATGTACCGTTCCCAACCCAAGGGTAACTGTTCCCACACCTAAAGTTATGGTGTGCTTTATCCATCCCTCAACTCCTTTGATGCTCCTGCCAATTTGCGCAAGGCGCTTTTAGGGCAAGTTAGCACTTGCCGAGATGGTTGTGACCAAATCGTTACAGTCTCCACAATACTGAGTCTTTCTGCATCGGTGAGGACTTTAATTCCTTGCAGCTTTCCGCTAGCTGCTCCTAACTTTTCACAAGATGCTCCTAAGAGCTCGTCGGTGACTCTCCGCTGCGGATCTGCCGGGTTAGTATATCTAACTGAACCTCCGATGGGGCTTCTAAGATTAAAGACTTGCCTGTGCGGTACTCCAAAACCGGCGAGAATGATGGACGCCGTAACGAGTGCCACTACGGAAAAGCAACTGGCGAGCATGAATGTTGAGAGACATCTCAAGTCAAAATAAATAGTCTGGACGAAATAAACGCCTGTCTTTTTGCTGTCTCCGTCTATCGAATGATGGGGTTTTGGGGTTCGTATGCGAGTCACAAAGAGTCAGGTAAAGACTTAGTAATCAGGTTTTTAGTTGAGAAATATGAAGAAGTCTTCGAGGACTAACACCACACTCCCTTATACCTTCTGATAGATGATACATCGTCTCTCCACCACACTAGCCACATAGACGCCTTTACTTCTACCGGAATACACCCCTCAGCGGGACAACTAAACCTAAGAAGGGAAATATCGTCGTTGTAACTGGCCACTTTACCTCTTGAACCGGTTTTCCTAACCAATCAATATCTGTTCCAGTGAGGGGGGTGTTCCAGTGGAGGGGGAAGTCGTCTAACATATTAAAGTGATACCGGGTTAGATCAAAAGTCGCACCCAGTCTTCTTATCCCTTGGTCTGGTAATGCCGACCCCCTATAATAGAGGAATTAAGTTTGTATGGGAGATCTATTATTTGATAACAGAGATAACAGGATCTGTTAGTAAAGCCATACAAAAGTTTGCTTTTTTTGGGGGGGGGTCAGCATTTTTTGCCAGACGAAGGGATACTCTATATAAGTTTGAATTGAGCACAGTCTGACCTGGCAAGAAACGCCACCCCGGATGCCATCGCTTGAGACAGTGACTAATAGCAGCACTGACAAGACAATGCTTTGTCGCGCGGCTCTCGGTCTCATCCTCTCTGGTTTCTACATTGCGTACACGCGGGTGGACAAAGATGTTCTTTAACGCAATATTTGTTGGGGGATGTGAGGAGCTGTTATCCCTTCGTTTGGTCCCCTAACCCTGCACCCAGCCACCGCCACATTGCCAAGCCTCATCATCTCCCACACACATGCACGAGTGCCCCACACCATCCAGCCCCTCGTTCGCCCGCTGCTACCCCGTACTCGACAAGTATCACCAACAACCACAGCTACTCTTTGCTCGACAAAGATTCGACTTCTCGAGACACAGAATGGATATAACTGCATCGGCGGCGTCTGCGGTTTGAGCGGTTTTGTGCTGCTGGGCGCGCGGGGGAAGGGGTGGAGCCGGGTAGTCGCTGCTAGTGGAGCTGGGGGGCGTAGGTGTTGGATTGATGAGATTCTGCAGCACCCACGATCATGGCGCGGGGTTAAAATCTCAGGTCGACAGGAGAGGGTATACGAGGAGGGAGAAACTAATGCACGATCGAGCAGCAGAACGGTATTCACGAGTGTTAGGATGCTGCCGGAGGAAGTACAGAGTGAGGCGAAGCGCGGGGGTTCTGGTAGTAGGGCACCTAGGGTTACGGTAGATTGCATGTTGGCAGGAAGGCTTTCCCAGGGTGGAGAGTGGGCGCAGTGGTAAGAAAGAGCTGGACCAGAACCGGTATTAGAGCGATGCAGCTCGGGAGGTTTGGGGGGGGGGGGGGGGGATCTGGACGTGGAGGCAGATGGAGGTGGGCTGCAGAAGGAGAAATATGAACAAAGGTACGCAGTATACTAACGTAACAAAGCATCCGTAGGTGTGGTGTAAGCATGGCGGAGCTATCGATTACGGCACGGTACGGGGGAGTCTGAAATGACTCCGCTATGGGGAGTCACCATGTGGGGGGCGGCGAGATGGTCTGTCCCAAGACGCGCGCCCATTGGAATCGCAAGTTTGAGCAACAATTCGGCCTCGAAGGCATGGGCCCGGCTGTCTAGTTTTCCTCTGTTGATTCTTTGGGTGGAGGTATAAGGCTCGTTGTTCTATGCCTTTACTTTCTCTGTCGCGGACAACCAGAGGCATAAAAAACTATGTATCTTCTTAACCTCTCCGCAGATGACAAGACTAGTATCACCATCAACCTTAGGAACACATCCCAAACCAGTACCCGTCACCCTCTCCTTTATTAACTCACAGCAACTGCATGTCTCGAGAACATAACCGGTCTCAAGGGTTCAATTAGCGGTAGTCTTCCGCTCCACATAAACCCCGCGCCCAGTGCCCGAAGATAACAACGATCACGATTACCAAAACGACTCGCCACGCTTGATTAAGATAATGTCCGGCGAAGGGGGTAACAGATGGAGCCTCTCTTGAACTTGTCCCACGGAATTTCATGAACTGGTGGTTTGGATCTTGAGCTTGTTTTGATGCCGGCAGTTTTTCCTGAATGTTTATAATGTCCTATCCAAAAAAAAAAAAAAAATACAATACCGCCAAAGCTCGATCTCCGGTCAGGGATTATGTCTTTAACGATTGGTTGCACGCTATTGATCAGCCTTAGAAGTGACCATTAGTAGTAATTTTGATCTTGCATGCATAACCAATTTTCCAGTTTTGACGATAGCGGCGCCAATCGCGACATCATTTGCAAGGTGTTACAAACCGACAGGGGTGTATGCGGCTCGATGGAATTTCTATCTGGGTGAAGAAGAGACAACCGTCCTTTCTGAACCTATGGCCAATTAGAATGACGGGTGTCAAAATATCACTTATTTCCCCATCGACATACTATGAGCTTAGGCTTGAGCTTGAGCGGTATCGTGTCCGCTTCCAGGAGTTTGAGTCTTTCGAGACGTAATTCTCCGCTCCAACTCAACCTAATCAATAGCTTGAGAAAAAGAAACATCCGAAACACAGCCAATCAAAATCTTGAAAATACACATTTGTGTGTGTGAAGTCATTTCATTTCTAGTTTCTAGGTACAGAATGGTCACATGCAGTATAAGCTATGGCGTAAAGAAACCTAACCCCAAACCTTCTTGAACACGTCCCCATAAGGAAAAAACCCAAGCCAAAAATATATATAGAAGAGCAGATGAAAGCAGAGCAGAACAAAGGAAAGGTTTGTGGGCAGGGCCCCTGTGCCCAATATGGGTCTTTCTTATGAGGCATAGATTGCGGGGATTGGCCCCGTCAGTGAGGGCGAAGAGAATGTGGTGGGTCTCGATGTGAGGGTCGACATGGTCGTTGAGCCAGTGGCGAGGGGCGAGGGGTGGACGCTTCTGGGGTATCCGACCCTTTTAGCTGCTATGAAGGTGCCTAGTGCTATCGTGAGGTTCTGGTCATTCCAGATATCATTTAGTGACGTGACGGATTGGAGCAGTTCGTCCCTATTTGGGGCGAGTGTAGGACAGTGAAGGATGGTGTGTTCTGTTGTCTCTTCTGCTGTATTACAGCGGTCGCACGTTGAGGGGAGGTGGGTAGTCATCCAGGTTGTTTGGGCTTGTAGATAGCTCTTTCCTGATCTGAACTGGTGGATGCGGGCTGCGATGAATTTGTGGAGGTCGTTGAAGGGGAGCGGGGTGATGGAGAGTGGGTGGGGGTAGTACTCTGGGGGTGGGTAGTGTCGTTGCCAGTTGGCGAGGAGTTGTGTTTTAGCGTAGTAGTTCATTCACACCGGAGCGATACCTTCCTCTATCAGGGGGAGGAGGAGTGATCCGAGGAACTCGCTTGGTAGTTTAAAATACACATTACATACTCGGTACTTATATAGAGTACTAATTAGATAGATATATTATAATACAAGCTGTTTCCGGCCTTCAGCTGGTTACAACAATGAAACACTACAACCGTCACCAATACCGATCCGTTACCAATACCGAATCATTACCAATACACAATCATCACGGTTCACCAATACAAAAAAGCAATTCCTACAATCGATTACAATCAATCGTCAGAATTATATAGAAACACACCACAACTACTACCAATACCAAAAAGCAATTCCAACGATAGAAGAAGAAAAAGAATATCTCAAACTCGGGCAATCAAAACCTCTAAAATCCACATTGCCTACTCAGTATACATGTAGCTATATACTTATTAGATATGATAAAAATATGGATAGAGCTGGCATGCACCTTGTTGGGGCAACCTGCTATGTCACCGGGTAATGTACCCCAACAGTTACCTAACTACCCTACTATACATCAGCAAACCCGTAACCTCCGCCAGACGCTCTGGACGCTCCAGGCGCACTGGGCGCTCGGTAGACAAACTGCCTCTCCAGAGAAGCAAGGAACGTTCCTGGCGCCTCCTGGCGCATAGCGTTCCGCCCTGGCGAGCACCAGTTTACCCTGCGCACCCAGGCGCGCACTAGTGCAGCTAGTGCGTCCCGAGAGCAATACGCTCACCCTGACGGGGTGAGCTCGCGCCTGACGCTATCCAGGAGGTGTACTCCTTCCCGGACGCTCTCGCGACGGAATGCTTTTACTCCTGACGCTATCCCGACAGAATGCTCTCTCGCCTGACGCTATCCCGACTAAAGGCTCTCTTGCGTGACTCTCTCCCGACGGAATGCTCTCTCGCCTGACGCTCACGCGACGGAATGCTCTCTCGCCTGAGACTACTACCTATCTCCTGGGCGCTCCTGGAGCTCTCTGACGACTCCTGGGCATATCGCTAATGTTTCTGGAGCACTCCCGACTGCTCCCGCGTTGCCCGACGCACCGCATTTTACCTTTCAGCGCCCTGTTTTTATCAGGCATATTACTGTTTGCTTTAGTAAGCACTGCTTTGCAGAGCATCCAGAACCGTAATTCTATTACTAAATACTAACACTACAAACGTCTAGAAATCGCCAATCGGATATAATACAGGTATATAGGTATCTCCCCAAAGCACTCGCCACTGCTCTCCAAAGCACTCGCCGGTGCGCTATAGATCATCTTCCTCCTCGCCTTCCTCGCGATCCTCCTCTTCATCCCTCCCCTCGCCTTCATCTTCCGCTTCAATGCCCCGAAGTTGAGCGTGAACCACCTCTTCCTGGCCGTTACTGTTGTCGGAACCAGAGATATCCCCTGGAGCACTCGGGGGTGCTCTTCGAGCATTTCGGAATGCTGCAAGATCTGCCGCTAACGCTTCATCGTCCTCGCTGAATCCATCTTCGGGTATCACCTCGATAGTGATGCCCTTCTTCTCTCGTATCTATCAAGGTTAGCCTCCGTATTTAGAAAAGCACCCCACCATTGTAGCATCCATCCTTATAGCACACCTTTTCCCGGAGGTTATCCTTGATCACCTCCAACGTTGCCTCCTGGTTCTGCCTACTCCTCCCCTTCCATGTGTTGCTCATCCTGTTGAACGTTTCTACTCGTATTCAATGTCAGCGTGGAGATACACTATAGCCCTGGGAGCGCCCGTCACTACTCTCAAAGCACTCCCTATAGCTGTAAGGGGATGTGAGAGAATCGGGGATGCTTACTAACAACACTCTCATTCTGTGACTGGAAATGGTCAGGCTTCACGTATGTTCCGGCTGACCATGCCCGAATGCCATGCCAAATAGAAGTCGATATCAGGCAAATAAAGATAGGGGTAATCCGCTCAAGGAACTCGGGGTCTTTTACCCCTCGCATCCTGACCCCATCAAAGTATTTATAGTACAATATGTCGATAATCTCTGGTGCAAGAAACCGTAGACGGTAGGTCTAGTATCTGTTAGCAGCGTTCACGAGTGCTCTCCAAGCATTCCGGGTGTCCGGGTGCTCTCCGAGCATTAACACCCGAGTGCTCTATTAGCACCCCCGGATGCTCTCTGGGGATTGATCATACCTCATAATGCTGCGCAGGACTCAAGAAGCGATCATTCTTCAAAAGATACTCTACTTGAGCAGCCTTCGCCTCAGGACTCGAGAGCTTTCCAAGCCCATAGATGGTCGAATCCGCCAGGCGCCCTTTAACCTCGTGCATCAAGTGCGAACGCACTCGGGAGTGTAGACTTCTGACCTATCGTTGTCAATTATGCTTCCAGAGCACTCGTCAACGTTTCAAGAGCATTCACCTGTTTGATAACAACCTCGTCGAGATCTACCGTACATCCCACCCTGCGACTGGCAGCTGCCCACATGTTTACTACCAGGACCGAAAACCTCGCTGCAGGTGGAAAAGGCTCATGTAGAAGAGTGTGGTCCCCGATTAGCGTGCTGCACTCCTTCTCAATCCTCTGAGCTTGCATTGAGAGAACGTTTGCACTCCTCGAGCTAGGTAATAGGGATCTCTGTGATAGGTTGCTCGCATGAATGTTAACTGTGCTCTCAAAGCGGTCGTCAGTGCTATCGGGAATACTACTAACCTCGCTTTCTGCTATAGGAGCATTTCCTTCCCTAATTGACGACGAAAGCTGTGCAATATCGTAGACTCTTGGTTGCGCTTCTGGTAAATATACCTGAGGGCTTGAGGGAATCCGGGGACTGCTCATAGAGCTCTCGCCAACGCCCTCAAGGGGCGGGGAGGCACGATAAGGGCGGTAAATGGGTGAGGAATCGCCGTACCTCGAACGAATCGAGGAAAGATAGATGTGCCGTGAAGAAGAGCTGTAGTCAATATCGCGAGAATAAACAGGTATAGAAGAAGGCATGGGCTGTGAGGATATCGGATGTGCTCTCTGAGATGCCGAGAATGCTCCCTGAGATGCCGGGGATGATCTTTGAGATGCTTCCTGGCTGGGTGCCGGAGTGGGTTTGTAGGATGCGGTGGGCGCCCACTGGGATGCGTTCTGTCTGGGTGCCAAAGTGGGAGCTACTCTCCGTACTACATTTGCACCCGGACGTGCTCCCCTCTGAAACGTTAGCGTTTTGACCTTAACATTAATGAGTGGGATGGAGTCGAACCTGTACCACATCCACCGACACGTCGGAGGAAGCAATAACCTCCGCTACCGCTCCGGTTGGTCTCCTCCGAGCATTGCCCAGTGCTCTGGCAGTAGTCGGCTGTACTGTACAAGGCCTCTTCCCCGTACTCTAGGATCTCTGCTGGGTAGAAGCTTGAGATTCTTCTTCCACGTCATCCAGATTCTCTTCAGAGCTCTCCTGGGCGTTCTCTGGGGAGTCGTCGTACTCCGAGTGGCTGGTATCGGCGGTTTCCTCCACCTCTTGCACTTCAACGCTGCTAGTATTGCCATCGGGGAGATGGAATTCTACCCTTCTGGGGCTGCTTCTTCCAGTCGATGTGTCGGTAGAACGGAGAAGCCCTTTACGCGCTATTGGGGCGGTGGTCGACTGACTGCTCCGAGTGCTGGTCGATTGACTACTCCGAGTGTTAGTTGACAGTGCGGTCAATGCTCGGAATGGTATTTCAGACCCGTCAGTCTGTGAATCATCATGCTCTTCGGGTGGTACTGGGAGTCGTGGTCGCTTTGTGGAAAGAGGTGTAGAACCTGCGGATCGCTTGTTGACAGGCATTCTGCTTGCTGGCAGGAGTATCCAATGTGCTCTAGGAGCATTCTTCTGCGTGTTTTGATTAGAAATCAACGCTTGGCGACAGAGTTTTCGTCGCCAAGCGAGAAGAATTTTCACCGCTAACCTCCTATGGTATCGATACGCTCCACCGCATCCCGGTCCACTCACCCGCATCCGAGTCATTTCTAATCACTCGTTTTACTGCACTTTCTAAAGCGATAACGAGTGCTCTGAGAGCAATGTAGAAGTTTGAGCCGATTGCAATTCAATTAAGAAGAAATGGAAGAACGTAATCAAATCTAATCTAATCGAATCTAATCTAATATAAGAAAATATAAAACGATGAAACCCATCTATTCATATAATGAGATCTAGACATCAAATAGCACCGAACCAAATCCCAGGAGCACTGACCAGTGCTCAGAAAACAATACATACCGCTATTCAGAGGTAAGCGATCGTTGAGCAGAAAGAGAGACGAGAGATTATACCAAAGAAGAGTAATGATGCCAATAGCACTCGCAAGTGCTCAGAAAACAATACACACCCCTATCCAGAGGTAAGCATTCGTTGAGCAGAAAGACAGACGCGAGATTATACCAAAGAAAACTAATGATGCCCGCCATCACCACCACCGCCGCCACCACCACCACCACCACCACCGCCCGGAGGTCCGCCCGGAGGAGGATTACCACCGCCCCGAGGTCCGCCCGGAGGAGGATTACCACCACCACCGCCACCGCCTCCACCACCACCACCGCCTCCACCACCACCACGGCCTCCACCACCGCCTCCACCACCAGCAGCCGCGAGTGCGTCAGCAGCTCTCTTGGCTGCTATCCCGGCAGGCGTCCAGATTACTCCCTGTACAAAGTTCGGGTCAGCAACCCCAACACCCAAAGGATATTTCCTCAGGTATTTGGGGTCTAAGTCGTCGATAGCATCCTGCTGTCTATCTCGACGTCTAACAAGAGTCTGGATTAGCCTTTGATTACTGGCATCAGTTCTGGGTAAATATACCCTCAGTCCTTTAGCATTGATGCGGTGGCTTCCCTCCTCGTAATCAGAGTCCTCTGCAGGAATATCGATCATGGTATAATCGTCTTCTTCGATATGAGGGAATGCCCGGTTCAGCGGGGGTGATTCAGCGCCACCCAAATTAGCACCCGCGCCTGCTCTGTGGAGCACCGCCAGTATTCTCCTAGGCCTGCCAACGCTATTCTTCAACCAACCTTCGACCTCTTCCGAATCAGTGATTTGGACCTCCATTGGCCGAACAGGTGGATTGGATGCCGGTGGAACGTTATCCAGTGCTCCCCAGATACTCCTGATTGCTCTGCCGGATGCGGTGTGCTTCAGGATCAAATTGCAGAGCTCTGGAAACGTTATCTTTGTCAGAATTCCAATGAACGAAGGCTCATTTTGTGGATCGTTCCAGTCATAGGTAGGAGGCGGGACTACGTTGAAGAATGCTCCTAGAGCATCGGGGTCTACCACCGTGACCATTATGGAAGGTCTATCGAGATCTGCGGACACTGGATCCCGTTTACGCTTCCTAGAGCGTTGGGCGGGCTGTCCACCGTCGTCATCATCATCAATATCGCCGGCAGCTTCTCTGTACTCGCGATTTCCCTGCCCTCTCGATAGCTTTTCCTTCTGTCCAACATCACCAATCAGCCACTTCAAAGCGCCCGCGAGTGCTCTACGGGCTTCGGAATCGACTCCTGTCCAAATAGGCAGGAAAGCGCGGAGGGCGCGTAAGTTCATCAAATACAGGCATAGAGCATCGAACGCTGCTGCCCCGGAAACGGTTTTATTAACCCAACCGACGTTCTGCATCTGCGCTTTGAGGCTGTTGCGGATGTTAGTGTACACTTTAGGTAGGTTGAGCAAATCTAAAGTCATTTTTGCTTTATTCGCCTGAGTCATTCTGAATTGACCTTGAGCGGTGGGAGATGCTTCCGGAGCACCCGTGTATGCTACCTGAGCACCCGGGGGTGTTTCTGGGGCACGGGCTCTGCTGCTTCGTCTCTGCTCTACCGATGAAGGAGTGTCTAATGCTCTGGAGGGGCCAGCAACTGAACTCTGTATTGGTAGCCGGCGAGGGGGTTGGGTTGCTGTCTTTGGTGCTCTCTGTGAAGCACTGACGGTTGCTGCTGGAGCAGTGGAACGAACTGGAAGCACGGCTCTACGGACAGGGGCTGGTGGTGGTGGCGGTGAGCTGCCGAGTTCTGGGGAATCACTGGGGACTCGTAAAAGTGCCCGTCTTCTTCTTCTTCGGGGTGCCGGGCTTGCTGCCGGGCTTGCTGCTGGGCTTGCTGCTGGGCTTGCTGCTGGGCTTGCTGATGGGCCTGCTGGGCTTGCTGCTGGGCGTGTTGCTGAGCGTGCTGCTGGGCGTGCTGCTGGGCCTACTGGGCCTGCTGCTGGGCGTGTTGCTTGGCGCTTTGCTGAGTGTGTTGCTGGGCCTGCTGCTGAGCCTTCGCCGTTGGAGTCAGAATCAGATTGCAATGATATCCACTGCTTTGGGAAGAGTCCTTCAGCGTTTTTAGGGCTCTGGCTGAGGGGGGCAACGCTAGGAGGCGCTTGCGAGTGCTGAGGGGGAGGTGGTGGGAGCTGCGGGGGAGGTGGTGTGAGCTGCGGGGGACTTGAAAGCACTGGCGAGTGCTCCGAGGATGTCTCTGCTATCTCTTCCGGGATAGCCTTCAGAGTTTTCCGCGACTTTCGACGTGAGGAACGGGAAGATTTATGCTTCTTGTGTTTTCGGCGGGAGCGTTTGTAGCTACTACTGCTACTGCTGCTACTACTGCCACTATTATCAGTACTGGTTTCGTCTGAATCTTGATCTCGATGGCGCCTCTTTCGACTTTTGTGAGGTTTTTCGATATTCTGTGAGCGCTTGGGAGTGCTCTGAGAGGAGTTTGGAGTCTATTGTAAATGTGTGATGAATATGGTTCAGAAAGCAATCGGGTTAAGGAAGATATACCATCTTATATATGATTGCAAAGTGTATAGCTTGAAAGCTTGAACTTGGAACGAAACTTGAAAGCTTGAACTTGAAACGAGACTTGAATGCGCTTTCAAGAGGTAATCTTGAAAGCTTAGATAGCAGAGCGCTTGAAGTGATAGGTAGTGCTGGACTTGAAATTCAAGATGGTTAGGAATATCTCACGAACTGGAAGGAGGAGAAGGGTGCTCTTATACCGAGTACAATCAGCTTTACCAGGCTCATCATCGTCCTTCCTAGAGCACCACCATATGCTATACGAGCACTCGGGATTGCTATAGGAGCACTCGAGGGTGCTGTACGAGCACCCTCGGGTGCTCCTACCGTGCTGAATGTTTGCTCCCATACATGACGTAGATGAATGCTCTAGTCGCACTCGAAAATTCTCTGGTGGTTTGATTCAATTTGAAATGACGTAGATGAATGCTCTAGGCGTACTCGAGGATGCTCTGATGGTAGCATCGATAGTGGTGTCGGCAGCATTCCGGTGTTGGGTTGGTGTTTGTGTTCTTGTTGGTATCGGTTCTCTGTGCGCTAGGAAGCTGAGTCGGAGAGAATCTATCCTTTGAGATCGTAGTCGATATTGGTGTTGAATTTGGCGCTGAGAATAGTCTCTCGATCTGAATAGCATCCGCGAGTGCTCACACAGAGTGTGCGAGTGCTCAGAGGGTAGAACGTAGCATCGCTGGCGGCCTGATTGTGGTGATTGTTGTTTCTTCCTGTTGTATTTGTGTTGGGGTTTGTGTTTGCATTATTCGGTTGGATATGTATGACGTCAAAATCTGCCTCGCTATGGTGGAGGTGCGAGCGCAAGGCTCACAATCATTTGGCGAGCGCTCTGTAGCGAGCACTCGGCATGGGGTGACAAATCGCTTGTAGAGCACTCTGCACAACCGCTTGGCAGCGAGAGCCTCATGTGGTGACTAATTGCTATTAGAGCACTCTGCACCACCTGCAGGAAAGAGCCTCCTCAGCCTTGGCAGACTGCAAATTCTCGAATTCAATGAAATCATCTTGCCCTTTTTGCAGCAAGAAGTACAGCTCCTCCGCCAACTTTGACAGACATCTTCGAACGATCCATTCTCTGGAAGCAGATGAATGGTTGGGAAACCAATATTCGCTCCTGGAGCACGATCAACCTGCGGAGACTCCCGATGACACTGATGAAAGCCCAGAGAGCATTCCCGACTGCGATTCAGACACGCATTATGCTTCGGAGTCGGATAGTTTTGACCAAGATTCCGGTAACAATTCGGACCTAGAATCTGAATCATATTTCGTGATGGAAGAGGCAGACGGCGATTTAAATGGACATAAGGCATCTACAACAGTTTATGAGGGTGCTGGGGAACCACTTTACCGCTCGGAGGACTACGACGAATGCTCACAGAGCCTTCTCCGTTACCCATGGCACCCATTCAGGTCAGCATACGAGTTCAGAATGGCAAGGTATTTCGTACTGTCCAAAGCCTCCCAGGGAAACATCGACAGCTTCTTTCTACACGCTCCGCCAAGCAGTGACGAGTGCTCCTACAGCACTGGGCGAGGTTTTATCAAGAGGCTGGAGGAAATGAACGACATATTGGGAAAGTCGAGCTGGAATCATTCGGAGGTGGATATTGGGGGGGAGAAGATCTCTTACTACTACCGGGATCCAATGGTAGTCGTCCGATATCTTTTGGGGCAATGTGCCTTCCGGGAGTCATTGGTGTACTCGCCGGTGGTGGAGCATAATGAATTCGGCGAGCGAATGTACGGGGAAATGCATACAGTAGATTGGTGGTGGGAGATACAGGTCTGTAGGCCTCGCCCTCTCAACTTGAACTCCGAGTACTCCAGGAGATGTCGCTAATGCTTTCTCGATAGAATACGTCACCGGAGGGGTCCACTGTCGTACCAATTATCTGCGCGTCGGATGGCACACATCTGACAAATTTTAGCGGGGACAAGAAAGCCTGGCCAATCTATCTTACCATCGGGAACATCAAGTCGTCGGTGCGCAACAAGCCCACAGGGCATTCATTCATTCCCCTAGGGCTTCTACCTGTGCCACCGAAGCTCGGGAAGAATACAACACTCGCTAACTCCGTTTTACGACGTCAGAGTCAAATGGCGCTGCACCGCACTCTTGGGGAGATCTTTCAAAGCATTCGCGAGTGCTCTCAGGAGGGCGAGTTAATCAAATGCGCCGATGGCTACGAACGACTATGCTTTCCGGTGCTCTCGGGCTGGATCGCTGACCAACCCGAGCATTCAAACTTGCAAAACATTAGCACTAGTGCTTGCCCAAGATGCGAGGTGGAGTTTCACAATCTTGGGAGCACTCGTCGAAGCTCTATGCGCGGTCACGAGGACTACAGGGAGAGAGTACAGAAATTTAGCGAGAATCCGGGCAACCTGGAACCGGTAGAATACCTTGTTGCGAGATCGGTCAAAACACTCTTCAATGCTTTCTGGGGTATGCCGAGGGTTAATCCGTACGATCTCAATAAACCGGACATATTGCACAATATCGACTTGGGGATGTTGAAGCACATGATGGAGTGGATTCAGGGCTTCTTGAAGAAGCATCACCGATTGAAGGAGTTCGACAGCGCTTGGGCTTCGATTGCGCCTTACCCTGGGCTGGCAGTACCAAACAAAGCATATCGTTCTACCAACCAATGGCAAGGGAAAGAGATGCGCAATCTGGGGCGGGTCGTTCTGGGAGCACTCGCGGCTGCTCTGAGAAACCCGGGAGTGGCTGCCAGGAGCGACTTCGCAAAAGCGTTGAAATGTGTTCGAAGCCTAATAGACTTCCACTTAATGGCGCAATATGGGAGTCATACAACGAGCACACTGAACTATATGGAGAACTATCTCGAGGATTTCCATAAACACAAGGATATCTTTTTAGAATTCAGGGTGTACAAGAAAACGTTAAAGGATGCGAGAGATCGAACGAAAGCAGTAACTAGCTCCCAGAGCACCCAGCAACGCTCCCAGAGCACCCAACGAGGCTTGGAGGAGATCCGGGAGATTCGGGAAAGATCGCACTTCAACTTCATCAAATTGCACGTCTTAATGCACTACCGGGAGCACGTTGAGCGCTTTGGGAGCATTCCTCAATACTCCACGGACGTCAGTGAGCTTGCCAATGTACGGCAGGTAAAAGAAGCTTACAGAGCGTCCAACAAGGTTGATGCTGCGACGCAGATACTGGACTATGGAGGGAGGCGATTGGCGTTAGAGATCCGAATTCTAAATCTGAAAGATATCGTCGGAGGTCCTGAGAGCACTGACGACATCCTCTGGAGCCATCGGGATTACCTCAAGGAGTTGCTCGACGTTTTCAAAATCGAGGACCGCAGGAAAACGCCGAATGAACGCTCAATAGTAGAAAGCGGACTGCCCCTGAAGCGTCTTTGCAATCCCTCCTCGAAATCGGAAAGACTTTTCAACGTGGCAGATGGACTGCAAATGAGCCATATCACGCTGTATCGCCTGATAAAGGAGTATACTGAGGATGCGGGATGCTCTCAGAGCTTTGCCAGAAGCTCTGAGAGCATTTTGGAGCGTCGAGTGGAGGTTTTCACATGCTTGCAAGTTCCGATACCAATATTCCAAAGACCTGACGTATACGAGGTTCACAACATCAGGTGTACAGGAACATTATCTTTTAGGAAGGGGAAAATAAGAAAGGATTGGGCATGGGTATCGGTAGGTTCCTCAGAGCAGTGGGGAGTGTTTCGGGGACGCTTACCAGGACGAGTGGAGGCTCTGTTCAAGGTACGGGATAGCACAGGGCGCGCACATAGACTATGTGTAGTTGAGCTGCTTGAGGCGAAGGATCGTGGTATCGCTGATAGCTCACATGGGCTGCTGAAAGTCTGTAGGAGGAGGAGGAAGAGGATGTGGGTCGTGAATATTCGGAGTATATTAGGAATGTCCCATTTGTTCGAGGTGGATGCTGGCAATTGGCTGGTAAATACTAGGATAGATTTGCGTACGTGGAATGAATTCAGTTGAATGCTGTAAAGCATTCCCGAGTGCTATGCAGTGATATGAGAGGATTACCGAGTGCTATCCAGTGATATGAGAGGAATACCGAGTGCTATCCAGTGATATAAGAGGAATACCGGGTGCTATTCAGTGAATGCTCTGAGGGCAGTGGCGGGTGCTCTACGAGTGGAATGTTAGACCCAATTGGACTCTCTAATTCAAAATTCGTGTCGTTCTGCTAAGCATGCGGATTGGAAGAGGGAGGTAAGTTTCGGCCGCTCAGTATCTGAGTCTGGCTATCCTGCAAGCTCGCCCCAGGAGGACGCGGTAGGCAGGCATTGGTCTTCCGACCAGTAAAGTCATCCTGCACCTTTTTCCAGTCCATGTTGCTGCTTAGGCATGGACATTGAGCTTTTCAGACGAGCCGTACCATGGCCTCAACCTCAAGGCTTATGCCTTTCACGAATCAACAGATACATACACGTTCATCAAAGGTTTGGTAGCCATCTCCAGTATACACGACAGTGCTCGTATCAGTATTCCGCGACTGACCGTTCAGCGGCGTGAAGAATACCCACGTGAGATATTGTTTGAGAGACTGGCGATGCCTACCTTGCCTTTGAAGAAAGCGTATCGATTCATATGGGTCTAAGTAGGGGATGTCCCACCTTGAATAGTATTATCAAAGATGTTTTGGTAGCTCTACGAGCATTGGTCAGTGCTCTCCAGACGTGGGCTTAGCAGTGCCTGGAAAACCATGTTGACGAAGACTGTCTTGGCGTGAGCGATATGCTCCGGCGGTGTCTGGCGAGCAGCTCGGTGAGAATGCTCTCCTGGCGCAGATAGCACTGATGAGTGCTGTCAGGGCGCTGACGCTGTCTCCTGGCGACCCCCGACGTGTCCGTGATTCGTTGACAGTCACTGGGCGGAGACTCATTCGTTGATCGTTATCCAGACGCAGGAGGCATACCCCAGGCATGTCATGGCGGGGAGAGCATTGCCGGGTGCTCTTAGGACGTGCACCACATTGCCTGGACGTTCCTGACGCGTGAAGGTGCGCAATGCGCCTAGAGAAGATTGCGGAGAGAGCATTGCTGGGTGCTCTGGAGATGTAGGTGATATCGCTAGGAGCACTCTGTAGACAGCAGCATTAGCGAGCGTAAAAAAAAAGCTCATTAGGAGGACTATTCGGTACTGCTTGGAGCGAGTGCTCTGTTTGGAGCGAGTACTCTGCTTGGGCGAATGTTCTGCTAGGAGCGAGTGCTTTGGCGGAGGGCTCTGCTTGTGGCAAGAGCTCTGCATGAAGCGAGTGCTCTGCTTGGAGCGAGTCTCTGGCGGAGTATATAGACGATTATGCGCCCTGGTGCTGCCAGAGAGGGAAAATAGTGCTCAGGAGGCGTCGGGCGCGGGAATGTATCGTCTGGCACGAGCATTATGCTCTAGTGACGCCTGGCGCGGGAGCTCTACCCTGGCGACGCCTGGCGTTCTTGGCACCCAGGGCGTAGGCTCTGCGCCCGAGGAATCCCAGAGTTTGCTGATGTACATATAGTAATAAGTATATAATTATAACCTGCGTATGCAATGTGCTTTTATAGTCTTCTGATTGGTTCATTGAGAGCTGTTTTGGTTTCATTTGAAATATGTTGTGTTGGATATTAATATAGGGTATTGTGTTTAGTGTTGTTAGAGTGTTAATAAGGTTTCTACTGGTTCTGGGAATCGGTTAGTAGTTTAATTTTAGCAAGTTGCTGGCTGCTTGTAACGGAGCCACTTCAACTGTTTGGTCTATGAGTACATACAGGGTCCGGTTACATGCTCAGAGTTATTGATAGAAGCTAGTTGCACAGTGACATACAAGTACCGGCAATATGGTTAGCTACCAGCTGTTAGAGTAACTACATTCTGAGCACTAGAAAGAAAATCTATTCATAGAAGTAATGACTGACGAGTCTATGCCTCGCCAATGATTAGAATGTTAGCCAGAGTAAAGCTCGAAGTACTCGGCAATACTCTACATCCTCTGGGCATGGAAGTCCACCTGTACAGGCAGGGACTATGCCCGGGAAGTCTACAATGAGCGACGAGTTTTACAGCAATGATTAAGCTTACACATGAGCGGCAGCTCGTTAATGCAGGCACCGGTTATGCGACAACTAAAGCTGCAGGTGTTAGAAAGTTTTTGACTAAGGGTAGTTGCGTTCGGAACTGGAAGCATCCGCTAACACTTAGAGAGAAGCGGGGTAGCGGTGGCATTGGTTCCGATTCGAACAGAAAGTATCACCGAAACTTATTAAGCAAGTAGAAGCAGGGAACGGAATCCTCTGGAGTATGAGGACTCAGGATCCTTCCCGCCCAACTATCTGATTTCTCCAGTCTTCATGAGTCCTATCAAGTATTCTATTCGGTAGCACAATACTTAAAAATTATTGACTTCTAGCGATAGTATTTTTGAATAATCTGCACCAGGTTTCTATCTTGCATGGCCGTATCTTTTCTACTGTATTCTAGCGATAAATAGAGAAAGGCAGTCCCCATTACATTAAGTCCTCGTTAACATTATATATCGAATTCGTTCCAAGTTTTTAAATTTATTCTAGTATTTACTAGCCAATATCCCTGCCCCAATTGGAACAAATGTGCTATTCTCAAGACGCCACGCAAATTCTTTATTCAAAATCTTTACCGTTAGCATCTCACGACTCCTAGAAGTACATGGGAGCATTCAGCAAAGCCCCTGTCCCTTACCTCTAGCAGCTCAAACAAGCAAAGTTGATATGTTTTTCTAGTAATGATACTACATAGTCTGAATATTACGTTTAGGTGCCTGGTAAATGTCTTTGAAATGCTCCCTATGGTCCCATAGTAGCAACTTTAATCCAAGCCCAATCATTCCGAATTGCCGTTTTCCTGAACAAAGCCTCTCCAGGGTATCGGATGTTATGTATCTCGTAGCTATCACTCTTCTAGAACACTGATACTAGCACCAGCGGGCATTTGGAATACCTGACTGAGTAGTCAAAAAGGCTCAATAAGCATCCTTCTTCCCGTTGTAGCCCCTGACCATATTCTGATACAGTTCTGGCAAATATAATCCTGTTTATCTTAATAATATCTGCAATATCAGGTAACCTGTTCGCCGAAATGTCCGGTGTCTTCATTTTAGGTTTTTGTGGTGAATCTTCATCCAGCAATCGCTAATTGTCTCCTCTTTCTTGGTATTCATTTTTGAAAATCTCCAATAGATCTCTCAAGCTTTCTCGATGGCTCGGCAGGCCCTCATAATACTTGGACAGGGAGAAAACAATATCTTTCAAATTCAAAACTCACATCTCAATCACCATACGTCTTGGGTGGTAATCAGGAATCTGGACCGTGGCATCTACCTTATTCGAAGCAGCATAGGCCATCTTAATTTGCTACCGATGAGCCAACTCACTGACATCCGTTGAAAACATGAGTCTATTTCCGCGGTTGGGCTCGAGGTGGAGGTTGAGGTGGAGCGCAAAGAAGTGGGCAGAAAATCGATTGGAGGTGAAAGCGGAGACAGATGCGGAGGAGGTGGGGTGGTAGGCGCAATACGGAAGAGGTAGGCGCGCGACATGGGGGGTAAACCGGGGGGGGGGGGGGGGCGCGCTGTGTGATGGCAGGTGGATAATATACCGCGCGCGTTGTAGTGGTACTGCACAGGCTGCTCACGGTGTTTTATGCTCGTGAGGTGACTTCCTGCTACGTGGGGGAGCGTATTGCTTGGTTGTATGGCCTGGCGCGTGCTGTGGTATGGGCTGCGGCGCAGAGATATCGTGCCCTCCCTGGCATGGGTGGGCGACGGCGAGGTGTTTGGAGGTGGGGCGCTGTTTGGTGACGGGAAGCGCTTGCGCTGACTAGTTGCTTGGAAGGCACCTGTGCCCTCTGGACTAGTGGGCGGGGGCGGGCGGCCGCCAGCGTCTGGAAGCATTTTGACTACATATGTTTGCGAAACACTTGTAAGCCGCAGCTTGGAGAGCGGTACTCTAGAAGGCCTGCTGGCTCACAATTTGGTTTGGTGGTATTATGGAGAGATTATCAATGAAAGTGACTGAAACAGGGATAATGCAGAAGATCTGATGTGTACAGACTAAACCGTCCATGTCGCCCCCTCGGCCAAACCAGATTGTATTTAGAATAAGTCAAATAAATTACCAAGGCCGCCATGATCCACTTTGATTCGGTTCCCGTACAACTACATCCGCGCCCGCACCCGCGCCCGCGCTCCCCACCTCAGCCCCCACCTCGGACCCGGACTCTGCTGCGCCAGCAGCTATAGCCGCCCCGTGCTCTGGCACTGATTCCGTACTGGATTGGGACCTCCTCCCATTCATCCGGGCCCGCCGACCACACCGGCGGACATGGAGCTGAGCGAAGACCCATTGAGGGTACCATGGGGCGCGTGAAATGATAACAAAACCAGAGTTGTCCAAACTGCTGATGGCTGCTTCTTCCATCTCCTTGATATGTTTATTACCCAGCTTCAGAAGCTGGTTCAATGGCTTATCATACTCAACCCCACTGTCAACCGGCATCTTCGCATTATATAGAGCTCTCACCACTAAAGCCTAAGGTTAGCTTCACATTTCTTTTTCTTTTTTTACCTTCCACGTTATTTTTTTACTCACCCTCTCTCATCTTCCTTTCCTCTTGGTATGTCACCCCAAGCAACTCCTGGACCGTGGTGGGTTTGGCGCTTAATCCGGGATTGTTGATCAGCGGCGTAGGCTCCATGATTTCTTGTTTCGCCTCACTCGCTGATTTCGATGGGTTATAATGGCACGCTGTCGGGCTTAAGTGCTTGTGGATTCGAGTCAAGGAGGGGATATCTCCGGGGGAGGGTGAACCGTGAAACCCTTGTGTATAAAAAGGGATAGCAATATCGGTGCGCATAAACATCCGGGTAACCTGCAGGGAGTTAGGTGTGCACAACCTACTGTAAATTGACACGCGGCATTCGTGTATGGGAAAACAATGCCAAAATGGCACATTGCGTGCAAGAGTTTTTGGAAATGTGTACTCCGTTTCCCTACTCAGCGAGATTCCCACACAAATATTTCTTGGCTGCAGTCTCTGCGGCCAGGTTTTACCTGGTGGAGGGCCACAGTTCTCGGTCAATATGCAATAGGGATCTCGCTGAGTAGGGAAACGGAGTATGCACTTAGTGTTAACTCGGTATGCCGGATTGCCAAGATTCCAAGGATTCCGTACGGGATAACATAAAATCCTAGGTACAGCGCCGGACAGTCAAAATCAACCCTCATGTTCTTTTCAAGCCAGACACTAGTCCTAAGTGGGCAATAATGATCATCTAATCATCCCAATAGGGTAAGAATTATCCCAATTAATATGGCCGCCTTGGCATTAAGCTATTAATGTTATTATTTCACACTTATGTTTTTTTCGGGCAGATTGAACCAAATTTTTGAGAGGTCATAGTGCAGCCAGTTCTTAATTATTTTAAATCCCCTTTTATGGGGATGTTTACAACCATGATTAGACCCATTTTGCAAAAGAACATTATTTCTGGACAAGTGTTGAGTTGTTGAAAGTCGATGGAGTCGGCGGTTGCTCTGGCCGCCTGGTTTGGCTGTCCGACACCGTACATATATATGTGCACGACACCACACCATACAAATGTAACCCCCCTGTCACTATGTAACAGTTGTCGTACTCTCCTCAAAATTCTAAATAAAAATCAAATATAGGTATCACAACAAAAGTTTACAAGTCACATCGGCTATACCAAGATAGTACCCCCCATATGAAGGTGAGGACGGAGGAGGAGAGGAGTAAGTCAAAGCAAATTCTGTAAAAAGATTTCTGAAACAAACGAAACAGATAAGGCACAAGGAGAGCGTCATGCAAGACTGGCCAAATGAGGCTTCTGATAGCGCTACAAGTTATCGACCAGGGTTCGCATTGTATAGCCTCATCGCAACCCTTGATACTAGACTTGAAAATGACGGGAAAACGTGAAGGATGAACCTAGATAGGGGTGCTCGAGCCAGCAAAAAAAAAAAAAAAAATACAAGGCGAGCGTATGTACAGCGACTGGAATGATCTATAGAAAAACAGGAGGGTGAAATTGTATGGCGAAATATCTGTACACCATATAACTCTTTTTTCCATAGATCATTCCTATCGCTGTACGTGTATAACCGTCGCCCATGAATTTCGATCTAGTGCATGCCTCCAACTACTCGTTTACCACAAAAAGAACCAGGAAATGCAAGTGACGGAAACAGGGATAGTTTGTATGAGAGATCACCGACACTCCATACAAATAATCCTTGCCCGGAGCAACTGCATTTTCTGGTTCTTTTCGTGGTAAACAAGTACTACGCCTGTGACGGTAAGTCTGTAGACAGGCGGCGGTGCATTGGGGGACGATCTCTGAATATTTGCTTGTGTGTCACCGCCACCTGTCTACAGACTTACCGTCACAGGCGTAGTACTCTACTCGTATTTCACTGACGTTTTTGAACTGGGCCATTATTGCATACACGCAAAATCATGAGCTTGGCGTATTTTTGTATGGCATGCAATATCAGTCGCGCCCACAAACGTCAGAAATACGAGTAGAGTACAGTACCCTTACGGGGATATCTCGCGCATATTTCGTAAGAAAAAATCACTGGGCTTCTCATCCCACTCAACGGAGCATTCCAAGTAGTTCCGTTACTGAATACGGTATGATGCAGGCCTCACAGGCAGATATGTTCCTATAGTATTGCAGCCTCAACTGTACTGGCGGCACCGTTAGGCAGTGGGGACCAGGTGCGGGGACCGAAACGGACAGCTAGACGTGTATCTAGAGATAAGGGCGTCAACGTACTCGTAATTGTGATGGATGTGGGCTATGGGGTTGCCAAAGTTACCTAATACCGAGTTTGTCCCACACATCATAAACGGTATTCAGAGTGCGGACGGGACCAGGATGGAGTTCGAGAATCGTTGCAGTGATTGGCTGGCCGGCTACATGGATTGGATCTTGATTTGATCTTTTGATCCTGAGAAAACCTCGAGTGTAGAAATTTAGTGCAAGATGGACTTCCTTCTTAGTGATAGTAAGAATAAAGACCGTCTCTTTTCTCTTACACCCGATCCCTAACCCTGAAAAATCTGCCGCACCCCAGCAAAGCCAACCAAGGATCCCGAAGGTGCTCAAAGTGAAGACAGAAGTCAATCCTTTGATTGGCCCGTCAGCTAGTTGATCTTGCTCTTGATTTTGATCCCATTCGCACTCTGAGTACCGTTATTATGTAGACTTGCCGACGGTAGAAAGCGGAGGCGGCAGAGCTCACAGTGCAGAGTACACAATGCAGAGTGCATAGTGCAGAGTGCAGGGTGCAGGGTGCATACATAGTGCACAGTGCAGAGTGCACAGGGCACAGGGCAGAGCGCACAGGGCACAGGGCAGAGCGCACAGTGTAGAGTGCAGAATACAGAGGAGTGGCTACATATGGTGCAGGAGGGAGTAGAGGGCGACCCTGTCAACCCAGAATTGTCCAGTAATAGCTCTAGAATCCAACTTTATTCTGGTGGGTCGTTCTTCTACAGGGATGTCAATGAATTGTTACGGGAATTACGGAACACTGTTCTAAAAAGTTTGGGCAGTGAGAAATACGAGTGACGGGTTGTGATGCGAGGACGGTCGGGTAACGGAAGGACAAGCATAGAAAGGTATCGGGTAGTGTGGGGGCACGCGGTGTTACCACAATAGTCCTATACTATTATGACGGCACGCTTACTATCGGGTGTCTCACCCGGAATAGAATAGGAAGCGGGGCTTACGGCTGTAGGCTGTTCTACTTAGGGAAGTAGGTCTAGGATGATAGTATGGTACAGCCCGATGACTGGCAATTGCAAGGTTCATGGTTACATGTCGGAATTAGAATGGAGGACGGAACTATGCGGGGGCGCTTTTCTATCTGGGTTATCTTCGGGAGCGTTATCTTATTATCGTTGTGTCAGTTAGTATTAGAAAGCGGGTCTTGGCATAGGCTCCAACATGTATAAATAGGGCTTGATTTTGCGAAGGCTTGAGGGTATCGTCAACCATCAAGTCAAGGGAATCCGGTTTACAATATGATCAGTTTAAACGCTACAGAATTATCGCTTAGCACTGGCTATTTCCCCAAACACTATATTGTACCTTATCCCTAGCTTTTATTCTTTACCTATCGCATACACTACCAAAGTCTCGATAAGACAACTACTCGCTTAAACCAATACTCTGAGTATTTTGCTTAGTGGCGGATAGTCACTGTGCTCTCAGTAGAAGAATAAGCGCTTAGTCTATTAAAAAGATCCAGGTACTATATGCACACCCAAGTGGCAACAGCAGCCAGCGATAACTACCTTTGCGCTACATCCTTCATCGTACGAAGAGGAAGTGCCGAACACCTGTACTGCGGATACCTCCACTACACAGGTTTCTTCGCAGAAGCAGGAACCACCGCTAAATTCGAGGAACACGACCCCGAAATCCTCAACTACCCAGAACTCTTCCCAATCAAGATCACTCTCTCCCAACGATCTTTCGGACTCGCTCACCCAGCCCCGTAGTTCATCGCTCAACCCTGGTGCAAAAGGCAACCACAGCTCAAACTCAAACAACTTAACAATGTCAAGGGCTCATCAGCAACGGTCGGAGGAAGACTACAACATGGAGAGCTCAATCGCCTTGAGAGATCGAGGTATATTAGAAACCCAGGCGAAGAGGCGCGACAGGAAAGAGAGAGATGTGCCGATAGGCTCCCTCTTCGCATCGACGAGGCAGGAAGAATCCTATGGGCAGGCGAGGAGGCGGCAGGCAGACCCCAGGGAGTACTCCCCATACGTCACCCCCATCAGAGAGAGATCCTCTACTCAGAGGCCCTCGGTGCCTCGGGTAATGGACGAGGACGAGGATACCAACATGGACGTAGAAGAGCGACGAGTGGGGAACCCTTTCGGTGACCTCATTGGGCAAGAAGTCCAACGACAAGGGGCCCCCGTGGTACAGCAGCTCAGTCGCAGGATCGAGGAACTCAGCATGCACGTACGGGATATTCCCATCCTCAGGGAACTCACTCGACAGCAGCAAGAGTATACCAACAAGATCGTCGAGGACCTCCATGCCAAGTTTGCTGGAGACAGAGCCGAGCGCGACAATCAGCTCAACTAGGTCATGGCTCAGCTACGAGCGGAGTCAACCGCCACTACCAGCAACCTCGGTCAAGTCCTTGGGCAGATCGTCGAAGCAACTAGGGCGCATCAGGAGAGACAGGAGCGACAGGATCAGCACATAAACGCGCTGACTAACTTCGTCCAGCAACTCCCCAAAGATGGCCCTGTACCGCTACCTGTGGAGGTTACGTGTGCCCTCGAAAGGATGGAACGGGACAGACAAGCTGCGATGGAGGACCAGTTCGCAGGAACAAAGAAGAACCTCGAGGAGATTATTGAGCAGATGCGGATAACAGCCAATGGAACGGCAGCAGCCCCCGAAGGCTCAGGAGGCGGAGGCGTAGTACCCCCCCAACCTCCACAGAACCCCCCCAGTAATTCCGGAGAGAGACCGGAAGGATCAGGGAGCCAACCCCCTGTACCCCCCCGCTCTGAGGCAAGAAGCCAGCGAAGCGAGCAAGGAGGAGATGGCAATAATGGCAATAACGGCAATGGCGGGAATCGTAGAAGGCCTCGAGATCCATCCCCGTCCGACCCATCCAGCTCCTCAGATTCAGAGG